CCAACTTGAATAGGATAAGCTTACAAGTATGAAATTGTTTGAAGCCCTTATGCCTCTATTTTCGTGTTATTGTTAATGTATGATTTTAGAATGAACTTTGTGATACATCGTTTCTGTTTTTGTTATGGTAATATCATACGGATATCATAATATACCATGTATGATAAGTATGAATGAAATACCATGAATATGTGTATACGTCTTGTAAGAAATTTACGTTATGGTAAGTAGGAAAATTTTATGCACATCAACTAATTGAATCTTGATTTTTAATATGAGACCTCATGTGTGTTGTATGTTATATGATCATAGATTACTTTTCTAGCATGTTATGGACGAATGTTAACAAGCCCATCTAGTGGGTTCTTATGCGCTTGAATGAACCATGTATAAAGAAAAAGTATACGTCCGACTTTACTTAAAAAAAATAAAGTAGAACCCAAAAAACAATAATGAAAATTAGGCCCCACGAGTCCTAAAACATATTGTATGTGATTACATTTTTCGACTTTCATAGTGGACTTTTCCTTAAAGTTTTTAAAACGCGTGAGAGGTTTTCACATTCTTATAAAGAATATTTCGTTCTTCTCTTTAATCAATGTGGGATCTCATAAACGACGACGTTGATTGAGAAAGACATGGAATAAAGCCATTGATATTTTATTCCACGTTATAGTTATGTTTTCATTATTAAACCTTTAATTCAATCATAATTTATCAAAACTTTATGAGTATTAAATACATGGCATCATTAAGATAAAGATATTTTTAAATAGTTTTTCATACAAATCAATCACCACATGAATAGTAACATTCCCATTCTCAATAGAAAAAAAAAACAAAGAAAGTAGATGGTTACCTTCCAAGTGTTACTTCAAAACTAGCCTTTATCCACTAATTTTGATGACGTGTTAAGCAATCGACCTGATATATTTGTTTACATTTGCATGCGCTGTAACAAAATATTAGTAAGTAATAGACCATAACTTAAAATGTTTGAACTTGACCAATGAACAATGTGTTTGGTGCATTGGATGAGCATGCTTAAGATCTAGAAACTAAAGCAAATGGATAAACAAAGGCTTGTCAAAATTGGTAGTTCCTATCTCTTGTAGTCTAAAATTAGATAGGAATACATAGAGTGAGCTGTATGAAGTTTGTCAATTAGGGTATAGCTAGAAGCAGAGGATGAAGTGTAAATATACTCGTTTAGGACCTAACAAATAGTGTTTTGGATAAGTTTTGTGGATAATTTCAACAGATCAGTCACCTTTATTCATTCACTTGAGTGTAAGATGTGATCATTTTAAAGGCAAGCTTAAAATAGCCAAGAATCCAAAACAAAGTCGGTTGAAGATAATTAGGGTGTGGATTATGGATGATCATTTATGAACATTTACGTGATCTTTGCTCATTTAAGGGAAAGCTACAACACACTATCCATTATCCTTATCCATCGCCGTTATCATCATCCGTTACAACCACCATGATTAACACCATAATCAACTGTTCATCGGGATCGGAGTTAAAAGGGAGAGGGCGAGGGCGAGGAAGGGAAGTGGATATTTGTGACACGTTTGGTTGGTCCCCGCAGTAGAGGGTGGAGCCACGCCATGAAAGGGTGTGAAAGTTTTTGTCTTTTAGGATGAAAAACATGGAGCCATTGTGGATGAGTGATCGAGAGGTGGGTGCGTGATGGGTCCGATGAGGACAAAGCCCCACCACAAATCACATGGACTCCCACGTGACCCAGATGCCATTGCTATGGGGAGCCAATCGTGACGGTGCCTATGTGCTTGTTGCTCATTGGTTGCTAAAGCTTGGGTCACAATCAGTGAGGGCATATTATTATTATTATTACAAAACTTGGGTTCTTTCTTCTTCCTCCTCCTCCTCCTGTTTCTTAATCACCCTTTTTCTTTTTAATTCATTTCTCTTTTCTCCTTGCAAGAATGTTCGTACCAATTATGCAGTTTTTTTTTCTCCTTCCAACAAAAGTCACATTCAATGGTACAAAATTATTAGTCGATTTTAATACAAAAATTCTCCTCTTTTTCTTTTGTTGGTGTTAGATTTTGATATGATGTAATGTTCCATTCATTTCTTTTTCTATGTATTAATACGATATGTTTGATATGACGTTTAACGAGATAAGAAGTGTTTGTTGTTCATAAAAAAGCATCTCTCTAATATATATACACATATATAGTTCGTGTTTTTATTACATTTTATATACATAAAGGAATAGGGTGCATAGAATTTAGATACATAATATTGAGCATTTCTTTCATAGTCAAATCTGCTCAATTTGACAAAATAATAGTAAAACGAAAACTCTAGAACTATGTTCGGATAAGGAAAAATTTAATTTATGTAAAATGACTGAAAACTCGTCCTATCACCAAGTGAAATTTATTCGTGATAGAAGACCATCTCGAATAACAATAATAAAAAAATAATATATTAGTTTGTCATTTGTTACCAATTGACTGATATCATAAAAAACTATATCAATCGTAAGATATTATCGATCCAAAGATCATTCAACCATGAAAAAAAAAAACTATGTCAAATTTATCCTAACATTTAACATTTAAAAAAGAAACATCTTTCTCTCTCTAAATACTAACATTTAACATTTCATAAATATTAATATTCATACATGTTAAAATAATAATAAAGTATGAAAATTATAGGCAGATTTAAAAATAATGATAATAATAATTTTACAATAAAAAATCATTAAAGAGAACAAAAAGGAAACAACATCTCTCTTGAAACTTCTATTATGAAATAATTTTTGAAAATGATTTGAAATTTGTCTTCTAGTTGTTTTTTCTTTTCTTTTTTCTTTATTTTTGCTAAATTATATCTATATGTATAATAACCGCCATTTTTAAAGTTTCAATAATACTTAATTTTGTTAAGCATTTTTGTCTTCGGGTTTATGTTTTTCTCTCTTCTAAAAACGCTTTAAATGAAATTAAAATCTCTTTTGCAACCTTAATATAATTGTGATACATCTACTCACTCCATTTAAAAAAAGTGGAGGAATAAATATTGATGGAATAAAAGAAATGAAGAGTCGAGAGTAGCCAATAGCACGTCTCAGTAAAGCAAAGCATTCTGAGTTTGTTTCTTCAAAATATGCTAAATTAGTACTTTCACAATATGAATCAAAGTACCATTTCATTTTTTTTCCTTCAAATTATGCCACTTTAGTACTTATGAAACTATTACGCACTTCTTATTCCTTTCGTTCATTCCATTTTTTTTCATTCTCTATTTTCCATCGCTTCCAATTATTCTTTTTTGGTATAAATAACTATTGAATCTTTATATATATATATATATGTATGTATAATTGGTGATCGTCATCAAATGCAACTTCTTCCAATGATTCAATTGCGTGAAATTCATACTTGTTTTATGAAGAAAGTTTCTTGCACTTTGGTTATTCTTTTTTAATTATAATAATGTTTATAGTATGGATCTAAGTCCATCAAATGGAAGCATATTTCTTCAAAAAAAAAAAAAAAACTAATCAAATCCAAATTAGTTCGGTTTGTTTGAAAAAAGACGTGATCTAACCTAACTCAACCGGACATGGTTTGATTTTGGTCCAAAACATGTCGAGTTGGGTCAGTTCACATTGGTGTTTGTAGGGACTCCTATACCATGGTTTCGACAATACTTAAATTAAATGAATGTGTAGAGCCGACAGTTTTCATTTTACACTCTAAGGGCCCATTTAGCTCATGGGTCTTTGTGGGCTTGTGGGCTTGTGGAAGGAGTTGATATGGGCCTATAAAGCCCATGTTTGCTGGGATAGATTTCTTTTTTATTGTTATTATTTTTAAGAAAACTCTTTCTTTTTAAAAGCTCACAGTTATTTTTATTAAAATTATTTCTCCCTCCACTTCCTTATTTTTCTATTATTATTCTTTTGGCCTTCTTTTTTCTTTTAATATTTATATTGTGTTTTTGTTTTTGTTGTTATTTTTATTATTATTTATGTTTTATATTCTTTTTCTTTTTTCAATTATTTGTATTTTATACGTGATTTTGTGGTTTTTTTTCGTTATTTATTTTTTACTTGTTGTTCTTGAAAACAATAAATTTTTATCTATTAATCATTTTCAAGTAGTTTATAAAAGGTCTAGAAAGCAGAGATGACAATAAATTAAAATAGAAATATTTTATATTGAGGGGAGGGAGATAAATTAATTCTATTGAGTTGGAAGTTTATATAATTTTATTAAATTCATTTATTTGAGATTAATTATTAAGATTTATTACTATATAAACCCACGACCCTAAAATTTAAATTTAAAGCATGGGGTATTTAACAAATTAAAATTAAATTGATTAAATATATTTAATAATTTTTTTGATAAAACTAAATTAACTATAACTAAAGTGTTAGAAATAAAAATATTATTTATTTGCCTAAAATTTTGATCTAATGGTTTAACAACATCCCATTTATAGATATCATAAACAAAATGCTCAACCAAATGACCCTGTACGAAGAAAAAGGAACTCCGATCTTTTTTTTTTTATTTTTTTATTTTTACGAAATCCACGAGATTAACTATTATGGAAATCTTGTCCTTGTAATTTATTAATGGTTTATAGTTACTTGAGCCCAACCAATTCAACCTGACTTTACTCCCGAGATTATGTAATAGCATATAATCATTCAAACATGTAACGCGAGGATTCGAATATAAATTTATCAAGTTATATTTAAAATTATCTTAAATAACATGAATGTTGGTAAGAAAGTGTAGAACATCGAAACACTAGTCTAACTCAACTTTATACCTATACATTCTTGGTAAGTTTAATTATTCTAATTTTGTGAAGGCAACGGTGAAGGAGCATCCTGAACGTGCTGTTCTCGCAGTCATGAGGCAAAGCCGACCGTTTGTTTGAAAATATTTTTGAGATCCTGATGCCCCCTGCAGAACGAGTCTCCCGCCCTCCCCCTTTTTCTGCTCCTTCTTCAACAACTTCTTCTCAAACCTCAAATTATACAGCTTTCAATTCATAACAAAACCCTCCTTTCCATTAAGCTTTTCGTTTTTTTCCCCCTTCCCATTAACTCTCAGTTTTTATTCTCTCCCTTTTTGAGAAAACAGAGAGGGACTCTGTTCCAAGGAGCTATGCAAATCACCTCCTGGGGTTACGCCCACTCTCTATATTGTTTATCTAACTTTTTCCACTACGAACAGATGTTTTTTTTTTTCAAATTTTCAAATGGTGGGTCTCAAATTAAAGCTCCATTGGAAATGGAAGACTCTGTAATTTTTTGATCTTCTTTCGGAAGAACTTGGAGGCGGTGTCGAAAATGGAAGACGACATGGACAAGAAATCAAGTTGTGGCCTTTTGAACGCTGTGTTTGGCCGCCGTGGATTTTGGATGAGACGAACTGCCTCAACTGCTTCATTGCCAACAATTGATCCAATTAACGACCTCGCTAAAGTCGTGAGCAGCTGCAGTTCGAGGCGCCGGCGAGGCGGCTCCGATCAGCCGTTGTTCATCCATGTTCCGGAGCCGGAGTCCAAACAGGCGAGCAAGGTGGGTCCGAACCAGCAGAGTCAACAGAGGACAATGCATTCGAATCAGCAGAGGGGAGTTCCAATGAGCAAACAGAATGCGGGTTGTAAAGTAGCGCCGCCGCCGCCGAACAAAGTGGCGGCGACGGGAAATGGGTATGTGGAACAAGGAAGAAAGGTGCCGAAGGAAGCCATTGGCATCTCCGGCGAGCTCGAGCTCATGATCAACGATCACCAAAAATCGAAGGGGATTAATGGGTCGCTTCTTCGAGCCTCCTCCAGCAATTTCATGCTCTTTGGAAATTTGGGTAATCTCATCACTACTCTGACTTGTTTCTTAATCAAAGTTCGATTTCTAGAAGAAAAAAAAAAAATAAAGATTGAAGTTGTTTGAAACGATGAGACATAAATTGGCGGTTCTTTCTGTAATTGTTTCACAGTTTGAGATTTATACAACAAGAACGGTAACTAGATTCTTTTTTAAGGATGAATGTGACTATTATCACAGGTAACTTGAGACAAGGAGGGGGTGGAGGCGGAAATGCACACAATGTGGTTGATTATTCGCCCAATATAGGTAGAGAAGAGACTCAAGTAACAAATGACAAATACCCAAATGGTGGGATGGGGAATATAGCCAAGCCTCAACTGAAACCAAGTGCCGAACAATCGAGTTCTCTTTGTCGAGCATTATCAACTCGAATGGATCCCGAGAAACTGAAGATCATGGGGAATGAAGATTACAAGAATGGAAGATTTGCAGAAGCCTTAACTTTGTATGAAGCTGCAATTGCGATCGACCCGAACAAAGCGTCGTACCGAAGCAATAAAAGTGCAGCTTTAACAGCTCTTGGCATGCTTCTTGATGCAGTTTTTGAGTGCAGAGAAGCCATTCGGATCGAACCGCATTACCACCGAGCTCATCATCGACTTGCGACATTGTATCTTAGGTATTGGTATCACCTTAAAACATCATTTAGCTGTAAGAACACCTTAAGTCTTGTACATTTTTTAAATTGAGAGTACTACAGATTAGGAGAGGTAGAGAAGGCAATGTATCATTACAGACAATCGGGGCCCGAGGCCGATCACGAGCACTTAGCAAAAGCCAAAGCTGTTCAAGCTCATTTGAACAAATGCACCGAAGCACGACGATTACGAGATTGGAACACCCTGATTAAGGAGACTGGCTTTGCAATAACATCCGGGGCTGATTCTGCACCACAGGTGCTTGGCTTAGTTATGAGTTGTTTACGATACCAAAGCCCCGTTTGATAATGATTTCGTTTCTAGTTTCTATTGTTCGTTTACTAATTGATTGTTGTGAATTATTGGCAAAAAGATATTTGCTTTGCAAGCCGAAGCCTTTTTGAAGCTTCACAAGCACCAAGATGCAGATGAAGCCATATCAAGAGGTCCAAGCTTTGAGGTGGATGCCTGTACTAAGTTCCTTGGTCCTGCTGGTAATGCCAATTTACTGCTGATTCGAGCTCAGGTCGACTTGGTTGCAGGCAGGTTCGTGTTTTAGACCTTCAACTGCAACTAGCTGGATTAAATTTCAGAACGAAATAATTTTATGACTAAAATTAATACGAAAGAAGATCGAAAGTTCAAAAGTTTCAATCTCATTTAAATTTCTAAAAGTAGAATCATGATACTCAAAATGGTGTATGTCTGCAGATTCGATGATGCACTGGAGGCAGCACAACGAGCTTCTCGGCTCGACACAAACAACCGAGAGACTAACGTAGTAATGAGGCGTGCTCGAGCAGTTGCGGCTGCTCGATGGAATGGCAATGAGCTATTCAAAACATCAAGGTTCTCAGAGGCCTGTCTTGCATATGGAGAGGGGCTTGAGCATGATCCATACAATTCTGTGCTGCTGTGCAATCGAGCTACATGTCGGTCCAAACTCGGACAGTTCGAAAAAGCAGTTGAAGATTGCACAACAGCCCTTAACGTTCGCCCATCGTACAGCAAGGCTAGACTGAGACGAGCAGATTGCAACGCCAAGGTACCTTATATAATCTTCCAGCATTTGTTTCATGATGAGTATAAGTTCCTCTAATGTGATATCATGCAGTTGGGAAAATGGGAAGCATCAATACAAGACTACGAGTTCTTACTCAGAGAAACTCCCAACAACGGGGAAGTCAGTGAAGCTCTCGCCAATGCCCGGATGCAGTTAAAGAAGCAGCAATCGTAAACTACAGGGGACCAAATTGATATATCGCCATAATCATGCATCAATGAGCGAAACCCATGTTGAAAAAGGCCACCATTGTGGCCAAGAACCACCAGGAGCTGAAATTTTTTAGTGTAAAATCCTGGTATTTTAAAGAGAAATGAAAGACCATAGTGTAATGTTGTATATGACCTGTAATTTCTCAGCAGAAGTTGGTGCCTAAGGATCTGGCTTTGACCAACTTATTTCTGTATAGAACTCTACTTACATTTTTGAATTTGAAACCACAGATATTTATTGATTTCCTTTTAAGATTAAGAGTGAAAGATAACATGAAAAACAGAGAAAAACAGAGCTAATTGTTGTCCCTTGAGAGCAAATGCATAGCCTTCATGTGGTGAATGGCACCGGAAGGATCGAGGCTTTTGGGGCAGTTGGCTGTGCAATTCTGTACAGTTCTACATCTATACAGCTTCGTCTCGTCTTCAGCTATTGCTTGCAGTCGTTCCTTCTTGAACTCATCTCGACTATCAGAGATCCATCGACAGGCATGGAGCAAGGCAGCAGGGCCAAGAAACTCCTCTGGATTCCACCAATATGGAGGGCATGAAGCACTGCAACAAGCGCACAGAATACACTCATACAACCCATCCAGCTTCCTCCTTTCCGCTGGTGATTGCCTGAACTCTCGCCCATCCTTCGGCAACCTTTTGGTCTTCAACCATGGCTCGATCGACCTATACATAAAGGGTAATGCTTGTATTAGATCACTTGTATTTGTGTTCCATATAGAACAAAAAATTGGATGACATTACTTGTATTGCTGATAGAAATTGGTGAGATCAACAGCAAGATCCTTGATGACAAACATATGGGGAAGGGGCGTTATAATGGTGGGTTTGGAAGTGTCAGTATCAATAGGTTTGAGGCAAGCCACAGTGTTGGCTCCATCGATGTTCATAGCACATGATCCGCATATACCTTCCCTACAAGACCTTCTGTAGCTCAAGCTTGAGTCTTCCTCTGCTTTTATCTTCTGTAACGCATCCAATACCTAAAATAAAGCTACCCAATAAATCAACCAACCAACCAACCTTGGTTATATGAAGATTAAATGATGCAATACCATTGAGCCACATTTAGAGAGATCAATGAAGAAAGACTGAAGGAAAGGCTTGTGGTTGGGGTGCTCAGGACTCCACCGATACACTCTGAACTCCTTTTGATTGGATTTAAATTTGGTATGGGCTTCCATGGCTTCTTGTGCATGTTGCTGAGCCGCAGGATGGCCGTCCAGTACTCCAAACTTCTGGTTTGCCGCCGGCTTAGGGACGGCCTTGCTGTAGGCATTGCGGAACCAGGTTCGTAACATACTCTCTCCTTTGTGAATTTGGTTGGAGAGGTTGGAGTTGAAGAGGGATGTGGTTATGCATTGACGGTGTGTTTTGGTTGAATTACACGTGGTAGCTTTGTGAATATGATGTGTCTGTCTGAAATTTGAACACAGTTGGAGCTATGAATGGAGTTGGGCCTGGTGTAATGCCGCATGGACTATAATACTACTGAAATGGATCTTCAAAGGAGGGCTCAATTCAATCTAAATACTTTTTCAAATTTGGTCAAATTTTATAGATCTTCCTTGCCATGATCATATTGAAGAAGGTAATGCCTCCTATTTTTTTTAATTATGTTGATCTTATTAGAGTTCATGTTGAGTAAATAATAAGTGAACTAGCTCAAATCATAATTTAAAACTAAAAAAATATAGAGTTATACATATAATTTTTAGAATTTAAAGTGTAATGTCAAATACTGGGCATGAATTACCTCTCTCAGTAATTTAATTTGTGGTTCAGGAATGAATTAAGGTGGAAGTAGGTGAGAATGTGACACCCATGTAAAGGAGGAGTATATGAATGAACTTAAGCGTAAAAGAATTTTTTCGAGTTGCATGTGAGTGAGGACAAAACATGCTAGAAGTATTTGTGTTGGTATGTATGATAATTTTCACACTTAAAAAGCAACAAATATTATTATATATATTTTCCACTTTCTTAATATAAAAAATGTGTATGCAGGTATTTAAAAAATAAAAAATGATAAATGAAAAAAGCATTTAAATTTTCCTTTATTTTCCGTACAACAGCTTTTACATGCTTTCAAGTTTTCTTTTTGTTTATTTTCTTTTTACATAAACGAATATGTACTTTTAGATTTCAATTTCTATCGAAATTAAATATTCTTTAAATAATATATAAAACGAACAATATCACTCGCAGTGAAGAAGAAAAAAAAATTGGTGAACCTAACACAAAAGAAACATCTACGTTCTTTAGAAGAAAGAAATCAGAGAATTGACAAAATATTTGTAAGTTCCTTTTTCAAATTTGGGGAGTCGAAAAAAGAGGGGAATAAAATCCAAAATTGGAATTGAATAATGGAGGTAGTATGTATATGACCAAAACATTGAATTGTTTCAATCAGAAACGCAATTAGGGAAACAGAATACCCAACAACATATGGCTCACCACTTTGTCTTATTTGATTGTTTTTTGGGCAAAGTATTTTGGCCTATTTCCTTTGCTTTTTTTTTTTTTTTTTTTTTTTTTT